TAATTAATGAATTAAAACTGTAATTTTGCAGTACTTTTCTGAAAACCCAGTGTACACCAAGAAAAGAATGTTACATATCAAATTCTCTACAGTTGTCAAAATTGGAGATTTCTTGGTACAATTAGTATAATTTATTGTAACTTTATAGATAAATTTGTCAAAATACCAATTCTTTTGAAACAGAGAAGAATATGAAATGTAAGAGGGAATAGGAAAATAAGTTAGAAGGTACTCTGCCCTGAGAGGGTCATGAAATACCTGACTGTATTGTTCCTGGCAGATTTTGCATCAAAAGGGGCATCGTGGAGAAATAGGGCACTTCTGGTGGTCTTTGCTGGGTTAGAGCTTCGAGTCAGAACTCTTAATCCTTACTGACCCCAAAGCTGCTGGTTTGTCTCTGTCCTGGTGTAAATAAGTGTTGGTGATGAGATAGACCCTCTGAGCAAACGCCTGTTGACCCTCAGTGTGCGCCAAGCCTCGTGTGTTAACTCACTCAGGCCTAGCAGTGTAGTCAGGCAGCACCTTGGGGGGAGAGAGGCGAAGGGACCAAGAGCCAGGTGTGTGGTAAGAGTCGTTGTGGCTGGAGCGGCCTTGCTATGGGGGAGTCACAGGACATGGGGGTTTGAGGCTCTAGGTTATCCTGGTAGTGCGGTTAAGTGCCTGCTGTGGTAGACTGATCGAAGTTCTGGAGAGTAGTCCAGATGACTGTTCCTGCAGGAGGAAGAGTGTTCTTCACAGGAAAATAAAACCTGTAGCTGGGTGACTGTAGCCTTCTGGTCTTAACTACTGATGGAATGAGAAGGTGGTTCAGTCTAAGTTGTGCATCTGATGACCTGCTGCATGCAGACAGGGTGCTGCGTCCAGGGCAGAGAGAAATGAGTGCTCAGCGCGTGGATTTTGCTCAGTAAAAACTATTGGGCAAGTGAATGAACGTGATACAGTTTCTAATCCCAGAGGGTTTATGGTTTAATACGAGAGGTGAGGCAGATAGCCAGTGCAAGGTATGTGTGAGTTGAGCCCCATCAACCAGGGAGGATGACAGGCTCTATGGAAAGGTGACCCTTCAGGTGAGCCCATGGGGCAGGGCTGTGAAGTGGCTGGTTGGAGGGGGATCCGTTTACCAGAGCACAGGGAGGGCTCTTGCGGACAGTGGAGGTTGGGTCCCTGAGAGTCTGTGAGGTGGAATCAGGTGGAATGATGTACACGGGAAAGAGATGGAGGCCTTCGAGGGGGCCTTGGCTCTTAGGCTGAAGAATCTATGGTAGCCCCTGGATGCTTTGAGGAGGGTAGTGACTGGACCTGTTTCCAGGAAGACAGGATATTGCTGGTGTGAGGTTGGGTTGGAGAGAGGAGAGGTGGGGTGAGAGCAGGGGTGCCGGGTGTGACAGCGCTCCTGTCAGGTGGGCAGAGGACGAGGTGACAGCGGAAGTGAATATGACAGGTCTGGTGGGGGGTGGAGATGGAGGAGGAGGAGGAATGAAAGGTTTTGAGCTAGCAGCCCAAGGAAAGGAAGCACACATGTCAGCTCAGCGTCACGAATTTGAGGGACAGTCACTCAGATTCTGATTTTCTCTTGAAGGTCCCTCTTTTGTTTTCAAGGAGAAAGCAGTTGCGTTTAAATTTCGAGCAGGTCGCCAGAGCACATCACGTCCAGGCGGAGAGCTACCTGGTGTACAACGTCCTGAGCAGCGGGGAGGTGGAGTGCGGGAACAGCCTGGAGGACGCGCTGGACCACACCCTGCCCGGCCAGGCCCAGGTATACCGGCCTGTGCGGCAGCGTGTCTACTCCCTCCTGCTGGGGGGCAGCCAAGGTGAGTTGGTGTCTCAGAGCCGCGTCTTGGAGCTGAATTCCAAGAACCCGCTGGACACGAGTGCAGTTAAATGAGGAGTTGTTGATCAGAATTCATTAAAAGAAGAGTGCATTGTTTCAGTAAGATGTTATGTTTTTATGCCTTAAAAGGAGTTGTGCTTTTTAAAAACTTTGAAAACCCTTTCCTCCTGTAGGAGTGTAGTTTATTATTAGAAGACAATGTCTAGTTACTCTCAAAATGTGATTTTCATAAAATGCTTGTATAAAGTCTAGTGCATCATATTTTAAAATATAAGCAAAATTTTCCTTTGGAGCTTTTGTAATTTTTTGAGTTTATGTTTTTCATCTGTATTTCTGTTGCACAGTAGGAACATGAGTAGAGGGAGAGGGCTGTCCGTGCAGACCAGTGAAATGAGAGGACCTTCAACACCAAGAATAAAATTGATCAGACCCTGTGACCCCTGTTAGGAACAGTGTGGGGAACAGGGAGTGTCGAAGAGCACTCTGTGTACAGGCTCATGATGCTTAATGCATTAGTTCCCTCCTCTGTGCGGCCTTGCTGACCTGAGACAGGCCTGCTGGAGTGTCGTAGGAGCAGAGAGCACGTGGTAAGAAATGGGCTTAGCACGACGCCACCGTCGGGACCAGGGGCAGAAGCAGTGAGGTCCTGGTGAAAGGTGCTCTGTGACCCATTTGCCTGCGCTCCGTTATTTCCAAGCCTACCGATATTACTGTCCATGTTCTTCTAGAAAGTAGACATCTCTGTCATCTGAAGGCGGTGATAGAACCATCAGATTGAAGTGTTTTGACCGTGGTTTTTCTTTAGGGCAGGGAGTGGCGGGCTCTCTGCACCCCGCTTTATTCGACACCCAGCACCCGCAGCATGTCCTGCCTCTCCCACGGGCTGCGGGCATCCAGACACAGTGTGGCCTGAGCAGGACACGAGAAGGATGTCTGCACTGATTGAGAAGCAGTCAGGAACCTGTATGATAAACTTTGAAACCAAATGGGATTGAAGCAACTTTTTCTGTTTTGTTTTCTCATGTGGCTCTCTGCCCATATTCTTTCTTGTCATGAATGATGATATAGAATAATACTGGCCTGGAATTGTTTCTAGAGTATTTTCTTAAATGAGGTTAAAATTTATAAACTTCACTAACTTAACTTCCATACTTTGCTAATGCGGTTTATTGACAGCCATAGAGGTGACTTTGTTAGGTAACTGCAGTAACAGGAGAATTACTCAGACTGAACTTCTCTCACAACTGATCGTCACTTTCCTCTCTTCTTAACTTTCTGGCTTTCTACGTGAAGTTTATGTTATCTGGTGTGAAAATTAAAAGCTACCGCAGGCTTGCTGATGATGAGGATAATAAAGCACATGGTGTGCTTTTTGCCTAGCTTGGCCCTGTTCCACGTGCCCCTGGTGGCGAGGTGTGTGCAGTTGCTGGGCTCAGCGGTCCGTGCGCACCAGCCGTGAGTGCAGGGGGCTGCTCAGGCCTCTTGCTGACTGTCGGCCTGTTCGTGCCTCTTGAAAGGAGAGTGTTGAAGTCTCTGGATGCTGTTGTGGACGTCTGTATTTATTCCTTCAGCTCTGTTAGTTTTTGCTTCAGGTATTTTTGAGGTTCTGTTGTCAGGTGCATGTACATCAAGACTTTCATGTTTCTTAATGAATTGACTCCTTCAGCATTATGAGATTTCCTGTGTTAGAAAAATCTGGTCTTACTCCCTGTTGTTTTGTAGTTGCTTTGCCTAATACTGATATACACACCCCAGTGTTCTGGTAATTGTGATGTATCTTCTTTCTACCCTGTTACTTCTAAACTATTCCTTTATGTTTAAAGTACACCCCTTTTAAGCAGCATAGCCAGTCTGTCAGTCTCTGTCTTTCAACTGGAGTATAAGGCCATTTATAGTTAATGTACTTATTGGCATGATTGGGTTAAAGTCTTCCACTTTGCTCTTTACTCTGTTCTTGTTTTTCCTTTATTTTATCCTTTTCTGACATCTTTTGGATTAATTGAGTAATTTTTAGTATTTTGTTTTTTATTGGATTATTGTTGGATGTGGATTATTAGATTTACCTGTTTCTGTTTGTTTGGCTTTGGCTTTTAGTGGTTGCTCTAGGGTTAGTAATACACATCTGTAACTTGTCACACTTTGCTTTCAGATAGTTACGTGCACTGTGAAAGCCTTAGAACAGTGGACTTTCATTCTCATCATTTTTGTTATTCTGTATATTTTTAAAACTTTTTATTTTGAAATAATTGTACACGCACAGGAGTTGCAAAGATAGCACGTAGAGTTCCATGTACCTTTCACCCCCGAAGGTGACCTCTTACATGGTGAAGTGCAATATCAAAGCCCGGAGCTTGGCACTGGTCCAGTACTGTTCACCGGACTACAGATACTCACTGTCCAGCGTTTCTTACACCCGTTCGTTTGTCTGTGTGGATAGTTCTCTGCGGTTCTGTGCCCTGTCAGGATACAGACTGGCCCCTCTCCACAGAGGAACTCCCTCAGCTGCCCCTTGGTACCCTTCCCTCTCTCCCTGTCCCCTGGTAACCACTGGTCTGTCCTCCAGCTCTGCATTTTGATCATTTTGAGAATGTCACACAGATGGAAACCTAGTAGGTAACCTTTTGAGATTATGCATATGTTGAAAATCCCATAATACATGATCCTTATTTTTACTTTAAACCATGGATTGGCAGGCTTTGTGAAGGGCAGAGCTGTGAGGCCCCACCGTCTGCCAGCCGCTGCGCTCTGCTGCCCTGGGGCCCCGCAGCCAGAGACTTCACGTCCAGAGAGGGTGACTGTGCCAGGGAAGCCTCACCTCGTTTTCCCATGTCATCAAATTCAAATTTTATGTTATCTTCCTGGGTCATAGAAAATTCTTCTTTTGATAATTTTCCAATCATTTAAAATAATATGAAGAGCATTACTAGCCCTCAGATTTGGCCCGTGGGCTGTGATTTTCCAGCCCGTCCTCTGAACAGTCATTGTCTCTTGAAGGAGCCAGCGGGCAAGGAAAGGTATGCTTGTGCCCCGTCTCTGCTGCTCGTCTCGCTTTGGGCAGACCCACGTTCCCTTTAGTACCACCCTTCTTCCCATAAAGAACCTGCATTTACTTTTCTCGTGGTGCTCATTTTAATTTCCTGAGAATGTCTTAATTTCAGAAGTACTGTTTTGCCGGATACAGAATTGTAGATATTATTGTTTGGCACTTTGAAGATGCATTATGTTGTCTCTGGCTTGTGTTTCTTGTGAGGTGAGGCTGTTCCTTCCGAGGGTTGCTACCTCAGGTCACGAGTGTGTGTCTCCTGCTGGCCTTGGGATTTCTTCTCAACCGCTGGTTCTCAGCCACTGTCCAGGCTGAGCTCTGTGTTTATTTCACTTGCGACTCTTGAGTTCCTTGGGCCTGTGAGTGTCTGTTCCCCACCGACTCTGAAGAAAGCTGAGCATCTTTTCAGAAGCACTGTTTTCTGTCTCTTGCCTCCACCGTGGAGTCACGCTTCACAGTGTCCCTCGGGCATCAGGCTCGTTTTTAAGCCCCTTCTCTCTGGGCTTCATTCGGGTGTTCTTGTTGCTCTGTTTCCATTTCTGGAGCCTCCCTCTGTGACTCTGGTCTGCTGCGAGCCCACCCAGTGAAACTCTCGTTCCAGATGCTGTGTTTTCAGCTTTCTTTGCCATCTTCCATGTCTTTCTTCCGTGTCTCCTCAGTGGTTGTTTGCCGGCCCTTCTCTGGTAACCCCGCACCACTGTCATTGCCGGGTCTGTGTTGGTCATTGACATTTCTCCTCATAATGGCTCCGTGTGCCTCTGCTCATTTTCACCCCAGTATTTTTATTGTATTCTGGAAGAGTTTGGATCTGTGAAGGGCCTTGACTTTGGCTCTTTCGGGTAGCTCATTTACCTGACCCTTCCAGGGCTCACCTGCAGCCTTGCAGGTTGGGTCTGTGTGGACTTCCAGGAGGTGAAGTGGCCCTGCTCTGAGGCTGGGCCTCTCTGGGCTGTCGCCTGAATGCAGCGTGCCATGAGGTCCTGCACACTGGCCGCTGGGGCCAAAGTTGAAGAGCCCGGTGCAGCACCAGGCGTTGGTCCCTGGGGCTCCACAGGCCTTTCTTGCCTGGCCTCACCGAGTTCTGCTGTGGACCTCAGAGGCGCCCCCTGCGGATTTCTGGAGCCCTTTCTTCCCCACGCCCGCTCTCTGGTTCTGCCTGCACCCCGCTGTCACAACAGCCTGTCCTCCCGGAGGCTGTCTCGCTCCACAGGGCCCTCCCTCCCCTGGGCTGCCGTCCACACGGGCCTCGGGGTAATAACTGTCCACGGGAACACGCAGTGGCTTTCAGTTTGTGCAGATCCAGAGTGGCTGACGTGAGAGGAGCTGCCCTGTCTCGGCCCTCCCGCCCCACGTGCGTTCTGGGTGCTGGCGGAGCTGAGTGCAAGTCCCATCCTCATTCCCTTCTGCTGCCATTTCTCCCCCTGGGAAGTCTCATCCTTCGTGTTCATGCATTTCTCTCCCATCCACGTGTCTGTTCGCCTTTCCTGGAACTGCTGCGAGATGGTGTCGGGCTCCCTGCTGATGCGCTGTTTCTTCATCTCCTTCCTGGTTTGTTTTTCCTGCATTATGCGAACATGTCACCGCTTCATCCTCAGCTCTTGTGGAGAAGTGTCCCTCCTTCCTTCCTCTCCGTCCAGGGCTGGATGAGTCTACTGCCTCTCTCCTCTTCCCCTGGGAGCCCCTTCCCGACGACTGGATTCCCACAGGAGGCTGGGCTCCGCTGCTGAGCCCCTCCCTCCTGGCTCTTGCTGTCTCTGCAAGTAGGAGGCCCTCGAAGCTGGGTTTGCCCCTTACACCCAGGCATTCTCACTCACTTGCGTTGCTTTAGAAAGTACGTCCATGTTAAGTACAGAATTTACTTTTCTGGCTCAGGCCACTCTTCTGACCAATCCTAGTCATCCCTCATGCCCTTAAAACCAACTCCCCCAAGTTCCTGTCTTACTCCCTCATCAGAAGTGGTTTCCTCCCTGAGGCACCCTGTGCTTTTCATTCTCAGGCCTATTGCAGTTTGTGCTTGCACCCTGTTTCTGTGGGCCTTGTCCGGTGCCCTCCTCCCCCGAGGCTGTAAGCTGCGCAGGAGGGACTGCCACACACAGCAGATCTCTTGGTGTGAATTAGGTGATCAATATATGTGTGTTGAGTGTGAGTTTAAAGCATTACCTTTGCAAGAGTATTTGTATTTAGCAAAGCATTCCTTAGGGAAGGATTACTCTAATGGCTCAATTTCAGACATGGAGGGAGAGTGGTGTCTCTCAGGTCCCACTAGGTGAGCAGCTGTCTCCAAGCCCAGTCTGGCCGGCAGGTGGGAGCCCACTCGTTTGGAGTGAGATTTAGAATCAAAGGTGCCTTTTACTCTGTGGTCATGACTCTGAGCACCAGAGCCGTTTCTGTGGCACAGCTGTGGGCACTGGAGTTCTGACCCAAAAGACACAGATTTGGGTAACTGATCTGTTGGATACTCCAGTTCATCTGAAACGCTGGGGGTGCCTCTTGAGGGAGTGGTTGGTCGGCACCACTCCTGCGTGTATTTTGTATTGTGAATATGTGGTATTTAGATAGCTAGTCAGCATTGTGGCCAAAAGGGGAAGAAGCCCTGAAACCGCTTAGTCCTCAGCCATCACTGGCTTCATACCCAGTCTTACCTCTGGTCTTAACTCTTGTCTCTGTGTCAGTCTCCATAATGATAAGCTTAGTTGAAGTCACTTTTGAAGCCTTATACATTTCAGGAAGCAGAAGAAACTCAGAAAGATGCAAAAGGCAGACTCTTCTGTTCTCCCCCTTTTCATCTCACTAGGTAGCAGTCTTGGAGAAGAGCCCTAGGCAGTGGCAGGTTTTAACACTTAGGGCTGTTTGGGCTCATTGTCCTCCTTTCCTGTCACCCCACCTCCAGTTGTCGCCCCGAGACATTCTGGGAGCCCCGTGGTCGCTGCAGGAGGCTGATGGTCTCGTGATGGGCAGTCGCCAGACTTCAGCTCATCCAAAGTCCTAGAGATTGGCCTAAAAGGTGACTTCTTTTCTCAAATGTATATACAGGAAGGAACGTTTGGGGAGTTTTTCTATTTTTTTATGGACTAAGGTCACACATCATTATAGATTAAACCAGCAGTATAAAAAATACATTCCAGGCACATAAGGACAAATATATATTTTTTAAAGCCTGGAGGATTGTTATCAAACTTGGAGATCCCAGTAATTGAGAGGGTAAAATCGACATTGTGTCTCCTCATTCTCTTTCCCCCTCCCATTGCTCACAGACCCCCCAGATCATGTGAGAGGAGAGGGTACTTTTCTTTTGAGAGGTTGTGTATTGACATAATCAGAGTTTTTATGGGAGAGAGTTTGAAAACGTAGACAGTTCCACAGTTTTGCTTGCAGGGGAAAATGTCTTAGTTATATATAGAAGCTTTTATAATGCGGTGTAATGTGTCTGTCCTTTGTGAATAACAGAAGAATAATTTTGATTATGTTAGTTTTCTATTTTCCATATAAAATGTTATATATAGCATGAAGTAGAGAGTAAAAAAAAAAAAACTAGTGAAGAACTTTTACTCGAGTTTTTACTTTGCTCTTTTGAATTACCAGCTCAGCAAATTGAAAATTCAGACGAGAAAATCAACCTTTTCTTTTAGGAACTTCTAAACTCAATTTCCTCTTCTCTGTTTCTTGATATGTAGGCATTTAAGACTATTTTATTATAATTTAGACAGACCAAATTATTGCAAATGTTTTCTGCTGTTGTTTCAAAGTGCATACCAGATTAAAACCTCTGAAATTACATGGCACCCCAGAGAATGGGCTAAATGCTACAGTTTTCCAGAAAAGTGCATTTATCTTTTTTCTAAGATTTCAGGTAACCCTTTACACCTGACTCTGGAACTTGGAAGGTGTTGGGGGAGCTCTGACTGTGTCTGTAGTAGGACAGTCGGGATTAACAGTGGAGGTGTTTCTGGCTGGATGTTTCGGTTTGGACAGGACTCACCCAGACTGCAGACTTACGCTTTGCAGTGCTGGCAGCACTCTAGCTGCACTGCCCTGCCCTGTTACCCTCTTGTGGCAGAAGAAGGAAGGGCCTGTTGAGGATCCCCATCACCTAGCAGCTCACTGGGCAAGGGCAGGATGCAGAAGAACCTGCAGACGCAGGTGCACACCCCGGGACCTGCCGTCCACCTCAGGGAAGTGTTCACTTTTGTCTTTCATTTCCTGTATCCTTCTCCACAATTCAGATAAAAGTTTGTTTAGGGGACAAAAATTTAGATCAGTAGTTCTGATTTAACTTTTATCCTCTAGCCAGTTAATATTATGTGAAAATTTAAGAGTTTCACGTTCACAGTTCCTTAAGTAAATAGCTGGAAGCACTGCGCCTTTAGCAGCATAGTTCACTCTTGTTCTGAGACCTAGTGTGTGGTCAGCTAAACTAATCACATGGAAGTCAATCACTTTAAAAGCAAAAGTTTTCCTTCTTTCGTTGTTAAGAAATACTTAGTAATTGATACGCATTTACCCTCACTGGTTTACGTCATGGGGCAAAGAGGGGTTGGGCTATTGGTCTGGGCTCGGCCTCTGCTGAGCCTGACACAGAAGCAGGTCCACTGACCCTGCCGAACTGGCCTCGATGAGCAGCTCTTTCCTCCTGGAGTGTAGCTGGACTACTGATACTGCACGGCCTTTACTCCTGGAATGTTGTCCGAAAAATGACTCCTTTGGGTCCTAGCAAGAAAGGACGCAATCAGAGACCTCTCTGGTGCTTTTAATAAAGGATGCCAGTGCCATCACGAACCTGTCTTCACTTTCTTTGTGTGTTATTTAGGGTTAAAACTCTGAAATGTCAGCTTGAACCTCTGTGTTCTGAACAGTTTTAGATGAAAGATGGTCACTTCCATGCAGTACGAAATGCAGTTTTGTAAATGTTTCAGTAATTTCCCGAGGATCAGTTGGCAGGCTATGTTATGACAGAGGTTGAGTGTGAGTTACCAAAACCTAGTATGGTTTGTCTCTTGGTGTGAGAGACCGCACCCCTTTCTGAAGTAGTGGTTTAGGATAGCATTTGCTCCATGGGCTATTTTTTGATGTAGTGGAAACCTAGGCCAAGAGGATTGCATTAGAAAGTGGGTTGTTCTGTTTTTAAGAACTGTAAGAATTCTTCTCAGATTTTCTTTGTTTTTTTAAACTTTTTTGGTATGTGTGAAATTTAGGCTAAGTTGAATTTGCTTATTAAACTTATGGTTAATGAGTGTTGCCCTGGGCTCTGTGTTGGGTGAGGAGAACACAATCCTTGCTGTCAGGAGGTGGCAGTGGGAGGGCTGAGGGGAGACACGGCTTTGCAGTACTCTAGCCAGAGGACTGCGGTGGGGAAGTGTAGCATGCTCGGGCATTGGGGAGAACCTGATGCCTAAACTGGGAGTGAGGAAAGGAGGGGTTCACCAAGTGCCTGTCAAGGGAAGTGGGCCTCGGGGAGAGGGGGAATGGGTGGAGAAGGGAGTGTAGACAGCTGGACAGGGAAGAGGGATGTGAGGACCCAGAGGGGCTTCAACAGAGTGGAGCCCGACGTGTGAACTGGAGCCCAGGAAATGGATCAGACATGCACTCTGGAGACTCTGGGGGACTGTGCTGTGGGTCACGGTGACAATCATGTGGGAGACTGTGCAGTGGGTGGGAACAAAGGCAGGTGCAGGGGCAAGCAGGGGGCACTGAGGTCCACACTTTGTTCTGGTCCCTGGGCAGTTTTGGGGAACCTTGATTAGAAAGAGCGACCTGGTCAGATTGTCATTAAAAGAATAAAACCCCAAAAGGCCTCCATTTCCATGGAGAGTGGCTTGGATGGCGTGAGACTGAAGATGAGGAGAGGTCAGGAACCTGATCTGACCCAGGCAGTGCCGGTGCGGAGAGGGGACCAGCAGCGAAGGTAGTGAGGGCCAGGGGAAGACAGGGTCTAAAGGCTGGAGGGGCCTGTGCTGGCAGCTCCACGAGGCTCAGTGAGAGCGCTGGGTGGGCGAGGCTTCCATCACCTCTGCTTTGCTGAGTAATAATCCAGCAGCATACAGAAAAGCCTTTGTTCTAGATTATTTCCACCAGTTTTCTGAATTATCTGACATAACAGTGGTCTTGATAGTTGCATAAAGCAGTGAATTCTCCCCAGTTCTCCCTCAGTGTTCTCTGGGATAGTGTGGGATGGGAGGGGGCGGGGGGGGTTGGGACATTGCAGGAGCCATGTAGGTGGTGACCTCTCTGCTCTTGCTTGTTACTCACAGGTTACCCTGCCATTCCCCACCTGAGGTCGTTGTTTCCATTGGGATGAATGGATGACCCTTAGATCAGAGGGTAGGGGGCCACTGCTGGATGCCCGAGGCCCCTCAGTGACCATGGGTGTGAGAACTCACTGTGCCTACCAGCATGGAGCTGGGCCTGGCTGACGTGGGCCTGTTGCATTGTTAGCCTGGTGATGAATGAATTAGTGCTCATGTCACTGATGCAGCTGTCTTTACTCAGGTGATGCCAGCACCTGTCCCACGGTCAAGGAGTGGTTTGTGTACTCTGGGAACCCACTGAGGCACCCGGACCTCGTCAGACCTCTGCAGATGAACATTCCAGGTACAGACAGCTTTGATGTAAATAAATTACTAATTTGCTCACCATATGGTACAAGTCCAGTAACAGATGGCGATGAGAAGCATGCTTTTCCGGAACCGACAGATACTAACTTTCATTTCAAACCTGGGCCCAAGAGCAAGATATTTAATACTGTTCTAAAACTGTGGAGGAAAAGACATTGCACAGACATACCTGGCCAGTCCGCTGCGCTGCCCCGGCCCACTCCAGGGCTCTGCTCGCTGCTGGAGGTCCAGGCTGGGGCCGGGAGGCGGGGGGCGTGGTCAGGCCCCAGGACCCAACGCCTGGTGTCAGTCAACGCCTGTGACTTAACAGGGCTGGGGTCTAGGTACTCTGCTTGAGTCAGTTCTCATTGTCCCCACCACTGGAAGTGGGTTTTAGTGGACTGGGCAGGGGAGGTAGAGGAAGGTCATTTTAACTGAACAAATAAGCTTTTTCACAGGAGGTATCCTAAAACACAAATTGGGAAGGAAAGAAAAACAAAGTTCTCCTAAAAGCTAGCCGAAGTAAATCCTTTCCTCCCGTGAGTTCCTGGTATCTGAAAAGGGTCAGGAATATTTGACCATGGGGGTAGCGTTCTGCGTACAGACAGCTGAAGAGGAGGAGGCTGGGTTAGGGTTTATTTCAGAGAACAGACACTTTTCTAAAATGTTTATGCTCTGTTTTTGTGTGCGTTAAATTCTCTCCTGTCACTGTTGTCTCCATCACTCAAGCCTGTGATTTACCAAATAAGGATTTGAGCACTGCAAACACTTTCCTTATGTAAGTGGAATTCTGTAGGGAGAAAAGCTGAGGGGATATTTCCTTATTCTTTCAGTTGGTGAGTGCCATACTCAAACCTAAAAAAGGTGCTTTTCACAAAAACAAATTAAGATGAATTGACATTTGGCTTTATAGGGAGAAGGACTTGTAAAGGGTAGCCAAAATCACTTTCCTGAAACGTTTTGTTGTTAAGTTTAACTTTCGTCTCGTAGGGTCTTTACAGAAGTCACCTGGAAAGGGATTATGGTGGCTCTCTTCCTGGTTTGAATTATGGAGAATGTCTGGCTGTCCGTCATCATGTTGTGAGAGAGTTTCAGGGCCCCTCTGTGATACTTCAGTAACCTCTGGAAGCCACTTTGCTGTCAGAGAGACTACTTCTGGGGCTTGCGAGCACTTTCTCTGGGGCCCTTCTGTGCTGCAGGTCTGTGCACACGGCGTGCCCGGATTGCACGTCAGGGCTCTGCTTCCAGAAGGAACTTGGGGAGCTCGACCCTCCACAGAGGGGGCACACCATCCCATCACTAGGAAACTGAGAATGTGATTTTGAACTTTTGTTGCAGATGATTCACATGAATGGCTCTGTTTATGCTTATGTTAATAATGATGCAGAATAGCAAGATCTTAGTATTTAAATGCTTTTCTGTATCCGTGGGGAAAGGTACCAAATGGTTTTTAGACTAAAATGGAAGAGGGACCATCCGAGTTCCTGTCACTGTCCCTGGCGTTGCCCTGATGAGGCAGGGTTAAAAACAGTGGGGCCCTGCTGCTGGGCCCTTGCCTTGCCAAGCGCCGGGATACCCTGAGACTCACAGGCCCCTCAGGCAGAGGTGCAGGGTGTCCCCGCTGCCTGCTGACAGCCGTCCTGTCCAAGCGAGACCAGCGGCAGTGCCATCACTAGAGCTGAGGGTCACCCTAGGGCGCCCTGTCGGATCTTTCTTGTTCTCCTGAGGTAGTTTAATTAGACTGACCTCATGAATGTTAACGTTTTCAGGGAGTCCCAATGTAGTGGCCAGAGTGGCCTTTTCTTAAAAAAAGAAAGATTTTTCCCTCTTAACAGCACATATTATTTAATACTTGCTTTCTTAAATGGTAGGAAAAAAAAAAATCACAGATGTTATTCACCAAAGTAGAAAGGAGACAGAAGGGGAGCCGAAAAATTATACAGATTACGTAAAAATTAGGAAGTGGAAAGAATTAAAATTGACCAGCCAGGGAGCAGAAAAATAAATTTCATTACTGGAATATTTTATTCAGGAAACTCATGTGTTCCATCCGCGTCCCCATCTTTGTCTGTGTGTGTAGGGTGTCATACACACAGTCAGTTACACACATGCCTGCGTAAGACACATTCATATCCGTACACACGTTTGTGTATTATTATCAGTATTACGTTTACAATGTTACGGATGTTACATTTCACTTACGATATATCGATATATCACGATGTTCCTGGTAACACAAGAAAGTTGTGCCTTGAGATTAGGTTTCCTTTCCCCACACCTAACCCTTGAGGGATCCCTGGGTTGTCCATGTGTGTCTATTCAGCCTCTGTACCTGCAGCCCAATCTCTTGTTCTCCTTCCTCACGGACGTTCCGCACTTTGTGGTGTGAGTCTTGGACCATACAGCAGGCATGCATTTGAAGTAACTTTTTTCTTCAGAACTGGAGATTTTTCTTTAGACAAAGTGTGGATGACTTTTTCTCTTCACAGGGCCATTTTTAGTCATTATAAGCATATCCTTGTTTTGGAAACCTAGGAAAGCTAACTGCACACTTCCAATTGGTAATGATTTTTAAGTGTTGTTGAAGAATCAGTAAGTAAACTTGGTATTTCTCGGCTGTATGAGGTTGCTTGATGCACCCGATCTTGCAGGGCCTCTTAGAAGACTGTTTCACAGAGTGAAATGAGGTGGAGAGGTGCGTTTTATGACAAGGGGGTGCTGTCCTTGGCTCAGTCCATCGTCTGCTGAACAGCTGCAGGGAAGATTTCTTGTTGCAGCTCCTCTTACGTGTTCTGTTGAAGGTTTTCATCTTGAGGTTTCCATGGGTGGTAAACAGAAGCCACCAGCCATGCTGCAGCCAAGAGAATGAGCGCTTGGCAGGGAGCGCCTGCTTGACATCGTGGGTCGAAATGAATGGATTTAAAACCTCAGTTGTGTTTTTCTTTCATTTGTAAAAATAATTTGAAGCTTTATGACTGCTTTTTATAGCCAAGTTCACTATATGTTGAATGCATTAGGTAGAAACAGTATAACATTGTCATTTTGGGAGCATGAATTAGCTCATCATGTAAGTGTAGAATTTAATATATTGAGATGTTAATACATTCTACTCCATTTACAGCTGAATGAATTTTTTGCTTCCTGTAAATAGGCTATTGAAGTTTATCCAACTAGAGTAAAGATTCAGTTTGCATGTGAGTAGTCAGGGTTTTTGATTTTGTTTTCTTTTGTGAGGAATGCTCTGTAAAACAGAGAATGCTAAGTAAATGTTCATTTAAATAGAACTTGTGAATTAAAACCTTCACAAGTAAATTTGAGACACGGTATATACAAGTTAATTTCCGCAAGTGTCACTTCTCATGTCCTGAGAGTGGACACAAGCCAGATAGTATTATGGTGATTTTTTTAAATCTTTGTTTGTTTGTTTTTTGGGAGGAAATAATTGGGTTTATTTATTTAATTATTTAATTTTTTTAAATGGAGACACCGGGGATGGAACCCAGGACTTTGTGCAGGCTAAGCACGTTTTACCCCTCAGATTTATGGCTTTCTGACCCTAGGAATATGCAAGAAGAGTAACCCTAAGATAACTCTAAATCCAGCTATTGCATGACCCATTTTCATATAAAAAGCACATGGAAATGTCGTGGCTCAGAGTGTAGACGTGTCCTTATTCGTTGCTGTGTGTTCATAGTTGCGAACGCACACAGGGACCATCGCTTTGTTACTGGCGAGATGTCCAGCAGCCTCCACCGTGGGATCGGATCCTCCCAGGCATCTCAGTCTTCAGGGTTATCATTCGCAGAAAGGACCTCCTTCCCTGCCCTCTGCTCAGCCCTCCAGGAAAGCTCTGAGGCTTTCCTGTCCGTTGATTGACACAAAAACCTTTGCCAAGTGACAGTTAGGTTTTTGAGGCTGATGTGTCTTAGATGCAGTGTAGCTTGTGACCTGAAGACCAGATCGCTGTTTTAGATCTCTGGGTGGTTCTCTGGAACATCTCAGCTGCCGTGGAGCTCTGGGTGGGGTGTAAGCGAGTGTGTGTGTGAGAGTCAGTGAGTGTGTTTGTGAGTATGAGAGTGTGTGTATGTGTGGCGGAGAGAGGGGAGCTCTCTTCCATACCAGGTAGTTTTAGCTGCTCTCGGCTGATCCTCCTTCCAATTCTAGTCAAAATATGTTTCTTTTAGACTGAATTTGCTAATGATTTCCTTTGTGTTTGGTGAGCTCAGCCCTGTCAGATCACCACACCAGAGTTGAAAACTACTTTGCCTAGAGTGACTTTACCAGCAGAAGAGAACTAATCTAAATGGTCCTTCAAAGAAATTCACACCTGGGTCCCTGCTTAAAATGATGCCTGGAGATCTTGCCACTGGGAAGTTAGTCTCTGTGTGGCCAGGAAGAGCTGATTTTTACTGCACTTAGGAAGAGAAACAGCCGTACAGTCAAGGCCTCGACGTAGAATAACCGGGGGGGGGGGTCTCCTTGTGTCCTAGCAACCTACTGATTGTGGCATAAAATGATGATACCTTCAGAATGTGTCATCTTCTGTCAGAGACCCTCGAGTTCTGGAGAGAGCTGTGGGACTGTCCTGTCTCCTACGTTAATACACAAATGAACATTAAGTACACCTTTCTTGACTAAATAAATTGATTGAAGTTAGGATTAAAAAAGACATGATTGTGGTGGTTTTCTGTAATCCGTTACACAGACTTTCTCAAGAACCAGTTTCTTTTTTACTGTTAAGTTATTTTTTGTCAATGTAAGTGATTTCTTAAGCTGTTTTGTTGAAGACTTTTGAGCGATGTTCCAACTCTGCCTGCATTGGAGGCACCTGGAGGGAACGTAAAACACAGTTTGCTCCCCTACCCACAGTTCATGATCCAGTGGGTCTGGGGAGGGGCCCCAGAACTTTCATCTCAGACAAGTTCCCAGATAACACTAGGCTGTTGGTCTGGTAAAAGATAGAGGGGAAAGAAAACTAAAAGCTGTGAGTCCACAAGCTGTTTACCAGCCCTTTTCATGCCTGTGCCGCAGCCTTGGCCTGCCGGGGCCTGGACCCCTCCCACTGTGTGCAGGCCCTACAGGGACCACACCTGAAAATGCAGTCCACCCTTGGACAACATGGGTTTGAAATGCTTCGGTCCACTTATACATGGATTTTTTCATTAAAATATCTTTCCTTTTTGCTAGTTGAAGTCTTTTCAGGAACCCCCCTGTAAACTGTAGCCCGGGAGACAGCCGCTCAGTAGCTCTGAGGAAACTGCTGCAGGGTGGGAGGAGCCAGTTTATGTATGATTGTCTCCCCAGGATTCCGTGGAGTAGAGCATACAGCCTGGTAAAGGTCACTGCCAGTCACAGAGAACAGATGTGTTGAGTTAAGGATCTGAGTGCTTTTCTTTGTGTGGGAAGATACAAGAATCTGGGTTCATTGAAATCCTTCCTGAGATAGACATCTAACCATCTCAGGGGCCTGCCTGTCCGGAGTGCAGAGAGTTTCCTCCTGGGTTCATCGACTGCAGTGGCTCGCGGCTTAACCCCAGTAGTGCTGAGTGCTGAGCGTAAGTGGGGGAGGGGTTAGTGCTGGGTCAGAGCCCACAGTGTGGGGTCAGAAGGACGAGGGTTTGAGTCCTGTTTTGTCCAGCTGTGCCAGCTCCCTGCCCTTGGGGGCATCGTTTTTCAGTTCCTTAATAGCAATACCTGGGCTTTGAACTGCCTAGGGGTCGGCACCCCGAGCCCCACATTGTTCAAGGGTCAGCTGTAGTATCGTTCTCCGTTGTGGTAAAGAAGCCGTGCATCTGGGGTCTCCCTCCTCCTCCACCTGTCACTCTCTGGGCCTCTCTGTCCCTATCTGTCCCCTCTTGCTCTGTGACTTCTCCTGTGTCCCATCCGATGCTCCCCCAGACTGCTCCCCACTGCAGCCTGCATCATCCTTCAGAGCACAGACTGGCCATAGCATCTCTTGGGTCAACCACAGGTCTCTCCTCATCTCCACCAGGGTGGAGACCTTCCGCCTTCACTGAACCTAACTCCTGCTGGCTCTTCCATCTCTTCCCCTCCTCCTGGTGGTCCCTCCAGTTAGTGCCCATGTTCCCTGCCGGGCGGTGCACTCCCCAAGGCAAATGCCAAGTCCTGCTGGTGCCCACTCAGACCTTCAGCACCTGCCCTGAGGGCCAAGGTGGAGGCTCCTCCACAGTCGATGCTGCGTGCATGTTGGACGTTTGGATGCGGGTTAGGGGAGGAAGGAGAGCGGGAAGGGTCTTACCAGGCACTCATCAATGCCCCTTTCAGCTCTCGCAGACATCCCTCTCGCTGAGCAGGGCCAGCCCAGGGGCGCCTGTCCTCCCTTCCATGGGCACCCTTGGCCCTGCCCGGCTCCACGTTACTTCTGGATCTCCGGGGCCCTCTGGCGAGACCCGCACAGCCCTATCAAAGTGCATGCATGACCTTCACCCTCAAGCTCTTCCGGAAGAGTGATGTGGCTCTTCACATGGGGCTTCTCGGAACTCCCAGCCATCACAGCTGGTAGTGTTTTTCTTTCCTCTCTCTTTTAGTAGATGGAGTCTTGGAAATAACTGACCTGGTGTTATCTGAGCCCTTTGCATCCAGTTTTGTCCCTGCTGGGAATGAAAGGCCACAGACACTGTCACTTTTTGTTCAAGAAATCGTGCACTTATCACGTCCACTATACATGGTTCTTAAGTATATTTCATGAATCTCAGGTTTTTGTATTAAACTCTTACATGTAAGCAAGCGGAACACAAGGTAGATCTTTGTGCAGGGCACTTTGAGGGGGCTTGACCCCTCTCAGGTGTGCTTGTGTTGCACGTGCACTGAAGAAAGGCCTCGAGGCTGTGCTCTGAAGTGTGGCTTTGTCTGGGTGGTGAGCTTGTGGATTACTTACATTTTCTTCTTTATGTTATTCTATTTTTCTAAATTTTTTTACAATGCATAACTTTTATAGTCAGAAAAACTGTTTTTCAACTACTTTATTCGAAATAATTGTGACCATGGAATGTTCATTACTTACTTCAGGTCAGGGGTTGGCAGACTCCTGCAAGGGGCAGGCAGTGTATGTTCTGGGCTTTGGGGGCAGTGTGGTCTCTGTAGGCAGCTACTGAGCTCTGCACTTGGAGCCCACACGGGCACAGATGTGCACAGATGGATGTGGTTGACAGCAGGGATCCAGGAGGACTATTTAGGGACGTTGAAATTGGAGCTTCATACAGTTTTCTCAGATTGTGAAATACTATCTTTTTTTTGATATTTTAACCAGTTACAAATGTGAAAATCATTTAGTTTGTAGGCTGTACAAAAATAGACAGTGAACAGGACTTTGCAGTTTGCAGACCCTGCAAGGTGATTATTTTCCTGAAAAGTGTGTTTCTAAGAAGTTATAGCTGACGCTGTGATTCTCTTGGAATAATATCTCTATCTTAATAAGTAGGGCCATGATTTTTTGCTTGTTTATTTTCTTTCTTCCAAGAGAAAAAATGATTTAATAAGTAATGAAAAAGTTCTTTTGGGTGGAGGGAACATTTCAGCCATATCAGAAATGCAGATGACTTTTGACTTTTGTTTCACTTCTGGTGGTAGGAAACACACAGCTGAGAAAATTAAGTGACGTTGTGTGAAAGGTAAGAAAAAAAAGGAAGAACTTGTTTGCTTGAGTCACTAAATTCTGATGCCATTTGATTCGTGAGTTTTGTTTCCTGAGTAAACACGGGGGACGTTTAGACCCCACCATCCTCACACCTCACACGTGTTACAGCCAGGACCCCGGGGACAGCTGCGCTGCTGTTCGTGATGGGACCCGGCCCCACCTGGCAGTGGCTCCCCCTAGGCTGCAGGTACAGACTCATGCTGCTGTTCGTGGTGACTTGGGTCCCTGAGCAAGGGGTTTTTCTTTCCTTTGACTTTAATAATTAAATGTATACATAAAATATAGAAATGAAGCACCAAACATCATATTTTAGGAATTTCTGTTGTTGAGTAGTTTCCAGGGTATGCTTTACAAAATGTGGGGCCCATGATGCCCTGCTCACCCGAATCTCTAGGTTGCTCAGTACAGACTCCTGGGCACCTCACTTAGCAAAGCAGAATTTGTGCAGATGGAACCGAGGAGAATGTATTTTTTTCAGTCTCTGCAGCTGCTGCTCTTGCGCACTGAAGTTTGGAAACCACTAGTCTAGGGAACTAGCAGAGAGCAAGCTAGCAGGGCCAGCCATGGTGTTTCTGCCAGTGCTTGGTCAAGACTGTGTTCGTCCCACACCCTGAGTCGGCACCTTTGGAACTTACTCGGCACAGCATTCTTAACAACACAGGGTGCAGAACAGGTAGGGAAAAGCCCTAGTTTCCCCCAAAACACAGCCATTTTAAACAAGAGGAAGGTTTTCAGTGAACTGCACGTGCGCTGACCTGTTAGGGTTTCTGTCTAGTTAAACCAGGAAATGTTCATGTTTACTTTCCAGATAATTTAAGCTTTAAAGCCCGAGGATGTCAGGGGAGGAAGAGGTTAGTGCCCGGTATTCCCTATTGTGTTCCTCCAGAAGCATGTTGTAACTTGCTAGTGCAAGGAATAATGGTAAATGGACTTTTTTTTTTTTTTCAACTAGGGGGAACGCCTAGCTTGAAACTATTGTGGCTGAGCACAGAGTCAGGAATACAAGCCCGGCGCCTGGACGCGCTCCTGGCTTGTTTCGACCTTTCGTCCTTGAAGGAAGAGCTGCAGGCATTGGAGAGGCCCTTCCAGGCTCTGTGCTGCCTCCTGATCTACCTCTTTGTGCAGGTACCCTCAGCTCCGCCGTGGCCGCTGCGGTCCGCCCTCGCTGCTGGCCGCAGCGCTCTGGGCCACAGCCTCCTCTGCCTGGTGTCTGTCTGGAGTGAGAACGGCACGCGCCTGAGAAGCCCTGTCAGCTCCCAGGCTGGGCTCCACGCTCAGTGTCTGGGAGGCCCAAGGAGTCAGCCGGGGCGTGTTGTGCAGAGCCACACGTGTCCGCGCTTGCCGGGTCTTTTGGACTGTGGGCTGTTCTCGTGGCCCTGCGTGGGTGGCGGTCACTGCTCTGGGTCCACGGCCTGGCGATCCTGGCTGCACTTGCAGATCACGACCTTGCTTCCTGGTCACGATGCTCAAATTTGTAGATTGCTTTGCTTTTCCCTGAAATAGATATAGCTGTCACCTGTACGTGGGCAGCAACTACTTCAGGGTAAAAATGAGGTAGAGCAGGGACAGGCCCCCAGACGGGTTAGATCCTGGCTGCACTGTGTCCGAGGGCCAGAAGCCCAGGTGGGGGAAGCAAGGTCCCAGCGGACAAGCTTCCTGATTATGGTGTGATTGTTTTTATCGAGAATAAGCGTGTTAGCCATTTTTATCATCCAGGAAGAATCGAAATTTTTACCCATGGGTTTGTTGTTTTCCTGATGTTTTTTCCCTGAAACCTTGACTTGCCACAGAATGCGTCCCTCTATAGAAAGTTCTTGTATCCTTATGGTGATGGTGGCATTATTTAGCAAGTGGGTACCACTTTTTTTGGCTGGCAGAATTTGGTGGCTGAGCCAGAAAGTGGTGGGAGGTGGCCTGGACCTGGCGCTGCCTGTGCTCCCCAGCCTCCTTTCTGGTTTGTCTCTCTCTCCATGTCTCTGTCTCCTTGTTTCTCACTCACACTTTGATTCCACAGAGGGTGGGAGAGACTCGTGTTTTGGGAATCTTGGTTTCCTTCAGCTGGGGCCCAAGGATGCAGGTTCACTGCTGGGCGGCCAGGGTGGGTGTTTCCTCCAGCTCTGACCACCCAGCTCGGGCAGCTGTGGGTGCACTCCATCTGCAAAGCCCCAAGTTGTCAGCTCTGGAAATTTGTGTCAGAAAGTGATCATTGTGTTGCTCAGACTTGGCCATAGCTCAGGATCCCTCTAGGCTCTGCCTTGCTAGTGAGTAACTAGGCTCCCCTGTCCAGCTGGGCCCTGGGCATCATGGAGACCTTCCCACTGAGGCCTGTGGACAGTGGGAGAAAAGACCCTGCTCACCTCCGCTGGCGTCTCTTCTGCTGCCCAGGGCGGCGTGTGTGTGTGTGTGTGTGTGTGTCCCTGTAGTCAGTTGGAGTGCGGGGCTCCTCCCTGCTGACACCGGCGCTCTCCCTTGCAGGTGGACGCGCTCAGCCTGGAGGACCTGCATGCCTTCATTGCGCAGGCCCTGTGCCTCCAAGAAAAGTCCACTGCACAGCTCGTGGACTTGCAGGTACTCACTGTTGCATGTCTGTGGACAGCCGCCCAACCTGGGCAGCACTCCTGTTAGCCTTTTGTAAAATTTGGTGACAAGACCAAGCAGGTATGTTTAGCCATGACACTGCTGTGCTGTAGGGGAGCGTGAGCCAGTGCCCTGCAGGTGGGGGCAGCCGTGAGGGGCCGGTGGCGGGCCCCTCCTGGAGCAGCTGGCTCATGTGCCAGCAGGCACTGCCTTCTCCCACTTTGGGAAACTTTAGTTCCTAATACTGTCCTTGGAGTCTGGTAACTCCAAGAGGACACTTTACTTGATCCCTTAGAAGCGTTATTAACCTCTGGAGATACACGCCTTTTCCTGGTGGTGGTAATTCCGGCTCAGGCGCGTCCTGCCTGCCTGTCCTGTCCATGGGCCTCATCCCCAGGCCCCCGCGTCCTCCGCCAGCACCGGTGAGTCGGGCGTGCGGGTGGGAGTGCCTGGTCATGGAGGTAGCGTACCTCACCTGCCGCCCACATCCTGTGCATTTGTTCAGATGCTGCTATTCATGAGTATTTATTCCTTTAATTTCACAGAGTGGCCTGTTCACAGCTAAAGTCAGTGACCCTTCTCTGCGGCCACAGGCTTCTAGATCCAATAGTCGTTTCCTAGTGGGAAACCCCAAGGCCAGGTCAGCTGTTGATGGAGACTTAAGATTTTTCTTTTTAAGTGTCCTGGATAATGATAGTGAATTTTATCTGTAGCTTTCAGTTAATTGAATTAGTATTTACTTGTCTTCCTAGTGAAAAAAATGAATAAGCGTGCTGCATGACCTTGAACAAGTTCTCGGGCACACACAGCAGAACCCAACTTCTCTCTTGCATAAAATGAAGTGGACGCCACATGGGGTTGCTGCCAGGCTGGGGTGCGGAGCCGAGGGGAGTTCTTTGTTGACACTGAGTGCATGACCCTACCCACCTGGCTGTTGGCCGAACACCGTGGGCTCAGGGCCCCGACACCTGCTTTGCGAGCACACCCCCGTTCCCAGGAGCAGGCTGGCCTCTGGGAAGGGCTCTGCAGAGCCCGCACTCAGGACTACAGCGCATCCGGACACGCCTGGTCCTCCCCGCCCTGGCTTTTCCAGCACAGGGCGCTGCAGCGTCCCCATCACTGGCTCCCCCGGGTGCTGACCTGGGCCTGGCTTCTGAGAAGCCCTAGTCCAGACCCCTGCTCGTCAGGAGCGAAAGGGCCACAGGGCTGCTGCTTGCTGCTGCTCACCGGACACTTCCTAAAGCCCTCTTAGCTTGTTACCCTGCGTTATGTTTCTAGTCACAACCACTCAAATACAGCTTTAAAATGATACATGTTTTTACATATTTATTCAATATCCAGGTGATTAGACTCGATTTGTGAAGGTTGTATCACAGGTTGATATATATACACATTGATTCACAGACATAGAGTCTGCTGTGTATGCAGTTGGGGGATACAGACAGGGACCCTTACTCAGCTATAATCATATTAAAAAAAAAAAAGGAAAACAGTATTACTTCTAGTGAAAAACCAAAGACAGGCTTCTTTCTCAGGCAGAGAAGACAGTGGTGCAGGTGCCGAGAGCATGGTGGGGCCAGGCTGTCAGCCTGTCAGTCACTGCCCTGCAGTGGTCACTCTGTCCCCAAATGTGGGCCATGTACTTGCTGGTTTTCCTGTCACACCATGACTGTCCGTGTGCTCTCACTTTACATGTCTGGAGGACGTGGTCTATTCAGCTGACTTTAAATTGCCCCCGTGGGCACGTGAAGACACGCGTGCACACACACGGGTGCAGGTGTGGGGTGTGGTTAGGAGGGAGAGTCAGCTAAGCGACAGACTGAACTGTGTAGTGAACAAGTAACCTGAGCAGCCCCTCCAAGCAGCTTTAAGGGGGAGGGTGGCTTCCTCCGCTTTTCTGTCTGCGTGATTTAAGGCAGGGCTGCCTGGGGTGGAGGAATGACCACGTGTGATGTAGCACATGGCATGATGTGTGTGTTCTGGTGGACGCTGACTCCTGCCCATTGGAGTCCATGAGGGGCCCCGGGCCCCCGGGAGTCCTGGCCACGACTGTCCTTTGAGTAGCAGCTCCTGACTTGGGCACACTGTGCCCTGTCTGGGAACGCGAAAGGGGTGGAGACAGCTACGTTGCTTACCCCAGTGTTTTGTCAGACTTGGGCATGTGTCCCGAGTATTTTGTGAAGTCTTGTAGACAACATAAGGTGTTGCATTGTCATGCTGTCGATGAGCCAAGTAGGGTGGACCCAGACCCGGCGTCCATGTCCAGACCGTGTGCTCGCAGTGTCTCCCCCTCCCCAGGGTGCACAGTGGTTTACACTTGTGCCCTCTCTTCTTTTGGGAAGAGCCGAAGAACCAGCTGTGGCTTTCTTTGCCCATCAGTGTATCTCTGCTGCGTCGGGTCCCTAAAACTGACAAAACCATAAACCATCATCCACCCACTGCTTGGACTCCAGCCTCCTGGATGGAGGTTCCCAACTGCTGGAACGTTCTGGACTCATCTCTTCTGCACGACGGGCTCAGGGACCCCTGTTTTAGCCACCCGAGGCTTGGCTTGCAGGAGGTGGCTGCCCCTATTTCTGACACTACCGCCACTCATTGGAAAGTTCTTGGTCATTTTTGATGGGGAATTAAGAGGAGAAGGAAAGTTCTGTTCTGAAGTTCCCCCCATAGCACATGAGAAAGGGGTCTGCTGTAAGCATTCTGTTGTATGTCCTGCAGGGACTTTCTGAGGTTTACCGGGCACATGCCTGTTGGGGCTTGCTCATGGCTGGACACTGCCTGTCACCTGTAGGGCGCCAGGTGCTGGTTAGAGATTGAGTGCTTGGTAAGAGTCTCAGTATGAAGAGTTTGTCCGCTGGAGCTGAACTCCCGGAACCTCCAGGGCAGTTCAGTCAAAGCCCCTGTGTCTTGGGCTCAGACACCAGAACATCCTGGAGCCATGTTAAAAAGCCAAGGCTCTTCCTCCACTAAGGGTCCCCCAGCTTCATACTGTCCTCCCACAGCCCCGTGTCCCTGAAGGGAAGTATGGGCACTTGGGTATAAGAGCACATCGAAGGACGCTACTGAATGTCGCCCTGGCAGGTGAGTCCCTGCTTTCCAATCCAACACTGTTAAGTCCCATAGGGTAAATCAAATGCTCTGAGGACGCATTGCAGTCAACATCCAACAGCATGTCAAAATAGAGCCGAGAATCGCAGCCACAGAAATAGGGGATTTCATAAATGTGTGCTCAAAGAGATGGTTAGAAAGTTACCTCCATTATTAGGCAACTCAAAAAGTCGATGAATGAATGAATAAGAGAAATCGAGTCTGTTGAAAGCCTTAGTAGACTTTAAGTTGTTGTGTAAACATAGAAGATGTGTGCTCCACAGACACATTAATTAGATAAACAAGGTGCCAGAGAAGCAGGTAAGAACCTGGTTTCCTCTTTTTCCTTATTTTTATTCTCTCTTGTGGACTTGCCTTTCAGATGCTTCTCCCGGGCAGAGTATTGTTGAGTGCCTTTGGGAAGGAAGTGGGGTTTGCGAAGGGTCCCTATCTGAGGACTCAGGGTGCCTGGAACCGAGAGCCCAGTAAACCCCCTGCCAGGATTTGGCAGCAACGCCTGGTTTCACCCACCGTCCCCCTGGTTGTAAGTGCACGTGGTCTCTGTAGGTGAGCAGGAGCCTCCTCAAAGCTGGACAGTGGAGAACCTGGAGGGCAGACCAGCAGGGGTGGACTAGACGCTGCCTCATTGCAGGCCTCACCACGTCTGGTTTCCACACAGGATGCGATGCTGGACAGAGATGGGAGGGTTAGAAGGTAGAGCTGGTGAAGCTGCCAGGCTGCAGAAGCGTAGTGGATTCGGTTCCAGCCAGCAGTGTCTTCCAGGCCACGTGCACACCTGATGAAGACAGGGCGGGCCTGGGGGGTGTGACTCACAGAGGCAGGCCTGGGGCCAGACAGCTTTTTCAGCAAGTGGAGGTTTTCCTCTGAGATGAACGGTGTCAGGAGCAGGGACCAGTGAGACACGCAGTGCACCATGAGACGTCTCAGAGGGCTGCAGCCAGGCAGAGGCTCAGCCCCGTGGTTGGTGGTCTCTGCCCTCAGGAACCATGTCTAACAAACTTCCCCAGAGGCTGTTGGACTCCTGCCCGACTCAGGAGGGCTGGGGAGCGGCTGGGTGCTGGTGAAGATTTATTTAGGATACACTTATTAATGCAGTCCAGTCGTTAAAACACCTGTCCTGTGTATCAGATCTCACAAAAGCCTAAGAAGAAGTAGTAGAGGAAGTGTGGTACGTACTGTGTGATGAAGTTTTGACTGCTCTTTGTCCCTGCTTGCTGGTAGGAAGCCTCTAGACCCTTGGAATGCCTGGAGTCATGGGAGCCGTCATGCAGGTGGGCCCCTCGGATCCTCTGTCCCGGCTTGTGCAGGCCGTCTCCCTGGGCTCACCCTGCACGATGGTGCCTGCCTGCAACCAAAACCCCACTGGCCTTTCAGAAACTCAGGGGTTTGGCTTTGTTGACTGGTGAGCAGTGATGCATTTCCAATGCTCTCCTCGCCGTGTTGGGGTTTCCACCTCGTCCCAGGGCGGCTGCCCTGGCGAGGCAGAGTCTGACGTGGAGTCGTTGACTGTGGAGCTTTGGCTTCCACGTGCACGTAACTCGTTGCGCCTTCCTCCCAGGCGAGTGCCGCGCAGCTGAGCTGCCTACCAGCAGACGCTTCCTGTGAGGCTCTGCAACGCTGGAACTGCTTTTTCTAGTTTCTGTGTCCCCATCAGATGCTTGTCACCGCTGCTTCTCCTTATCTTCATTCCAGAACACCTTCAATCCTGTTTCCAAACGACAGGCCACTTTTATTCATTTCTTTTACTGGTGAGGCCATCCCTCCCAGCCACGTGGAGTTAATCCGCGCTCAGCAGCGGTTCTGGGCCCAGAGCCAGGGTCAGCCTTCAGCCACGCTGGTGTGGGGTCCCAGGTTACCCACTAAATGCCAGTTCTTAGGGGAAG